GGGAAATAGGATAGGCAGAGAAGGAAATTTTTAGAAGTAAGTTTAAAGTGAAGAAATGTAGTCGAATTTGCTTCCCGCCGCCGCTGGGAGCAGGTTGTTTCGCATGTAAATTGAAGGTGTGCGCGACGCTTCGCGCCGCGTACTATACTAATATAACTCCAGAACGGTAAGTTGGACCACAAGTAAGTCGAAGTAGACGACCTCCTAACGACCACTTCAATTTTTCGGGAAATTCAGGAAACTTGCAGTTTGATAATCAGGTTTTTCTGCAATAAGTTAAACGATAATACAGATTAGGATAATCTACGGTTATAAATCAACAACACTTCTAAATACAGCAAAATAAAAATGCATTTAGCATTTATTAAATTATATTCCACTGCGTGTCCTAATTTCCTGCCCATAAAACCCGATAAGCACCGTTTTCATAGGAAAACATGCAGGTTGTAGGGATTAATGAGTGGAGCTATATAAGCTACTGTTGCCAGGAGTTGTTTTAATGGTGTAATTGATCGATAAATTTGCATTATTAACTAATAGAAGTGTACCTGTACTTTACTTGGTCTAAAGGCTTGCTTTGCTGACGAGTAGGAGTTCCTCTTGGTCTTCTCTGTTCAGTTCGCATGCTTTCAACCTATACGTTTTGGTCCAGTGAAACAATTACAAGCGGCTTTGCTTTATTTTTCACTGCGCACTAATTACGCGTTAAACACACATTAACTGATCAAGCATCAATCCTTTACTCACGAAATCCGTCATACTTTTAGGTTGGGAAACGTCTGCCGATGGGGGCCCTACGATTTATTCCGACCGAAAGGTCGTTCGAAAGGCCGTCAATTAAGTCTTTGGATCATTTAGAATTTGTCGTGGGAAAATGCATGCCTCACATCTCAGCGTTACTACGATGAAAATTACAGATGCGCTTAGGGTTTTTGCTTATGTCTTGAAAAGGTGGTACGCCAACAGCAAGTTTGAGACGCCAGTTGATATCAGACAGCATGCAGATCTGTGACCGAGATCCACCATTGCTATGTCCAGCTTCCTTGTTCAAGGTCAGTTGCCTCGAATTCATTCAGTTTCGCAGCTAGCAGGGGTAAATATCCCCGCTTATTTGAGACTCATCTGTCCTCACCCATTTACAAGGTCGCGGGTTGAAGCCACGGGTGCCGCAGTATCCGAGGTAGGGTACGACTAACTGATGACAAGAAGAAAACGACTCGATCGCTGGGATAATACTTTTATTCGCCTGACTTTTCGAGATCCGTCGCGGATTCATCATCAGACGGATAAGCAGAAAGCAGTAGCGGGCTCGTAAGCTCTCACCCGTAACTAATGACAGCTTATAAGCCGCAAATGGCCATTCCGGTCTCATTTTTTGTCGAGAAGTTATTTCTGTTTGTACTAAGTTAGCCTATTAGCCATTCTAAAACTAAATATTGCGGCTGTTTTTGTTTGAAAAAATAAACACTAGGAGAACAAACTGAAGGCATGCATATTTGATATCTTAGAGGAATAAAATATAATGTACGTTAGTTTTCGGGAAATATAACGTGATTTTCAATACGACGCCAAACGCGGAGAATTTTACAATGGAGTATAAAGCGGGAGTAGTGCCTGAGGAGGCGCAGTTAAACAGAAGTGTGCAAAAAGTCCCAAGGCAGAATGACAGCGGTACAATAAGCTAACAATAAAATAGAAGTCATGTTTTTAGGCTATCGCATTAATAACAGTTCGTACCTTTTCCAGCGAGAACTCCTTCATTGCGATCCCCAAAACTTCATTTATGGTGGCCTCATAACGGTGGAGCTCCATGGAGAAAATATTTCCCAAGGTGAAGTTCTCCGGACTCCCAGCGAACTTATGACCCGTACGCTCCATAAGCATGGCCCAGTGTCTGGTAGACAGAAATTAAACTCGTTAACAATAGTATAAGATGAAGAATCCATCAAGACTCCGTACTTAATAAGTACGTATATTTATCCAGATAAAATGTCAACTTTCGCATAAAAAAACTGAACAAGAATTAGCAAGCAAAGACATGGAGTAAACAGATACCATTTCGAATCAGATATTGTGTAGGAGAAGAAAACTGAATGTCTTGTTTGTCAGTCTTCGGGAAGCGGGGTGTGTAAACCAGCAGAGAGCAGCACTGACTTACACTAGTGAACTTTATTAGCGATAAAATTCGGCTCAATTTTCAACTAAAAGAGATAACCGGTAAATTGCATTTTTAATTTTAGCTATGCTTTATAAATGTACTACATGTCAGCTTGATTTTCAATGAATACCGCATAAGATGATTCAAGTTAATAGGCGATTGAAGACAAATGAACTGTTTCCGAAGAATAAAGCACACAAATGTCTGCGCTGGAACGAAAGCCGACCGCAGTTGAACGCGTTTTG